ACTCCGACTATACAATCCGCAAAGCTATCACTCAAACCATGAAGAAGAACCCTCTTGAGGAGCCTTTCAAAACCATCACTTTACCCTACATTGCTGGGATCACAAAAAAGATCTCCAAAATCTTGAATAAACACAAGATCCAGGTCCGTTTCAACACATTACATAAAATCCGTGATCTGGTTCCGTCTGTAAAAGATGTGATTCCGGACATACAATACCCTGGTGTCTACAAACTAAGTTGCCTCTGTGGTAGTAGTTACATTGGAGAAACCAAACGCCATATCTCGGACCGCATTCGTGAACATAAAGCAGACCTTAAACACGGTAGGACCAACACCTCGGCCGTAGCAGATCATTGTTCTAATTCAGTAGGCTCACATGCCATTGACTTTTCCAAGACGGAGGTTCTTTGTAAGCCATCTGGCTTCCATGAGAGATTCGTTCATGAGGCTATCCACATATACAAACACAGAGACAATTTCAACCGAGAAGATGGATTCTATCTTAGCAATCATTGGAAAGATTTGATAAATCATTTCAGTTCTTGATTGATTGTTCACGCTTACAGTGCCTTTCAGACAGCATACATAAAAACAAATTTCGTCTCCCCCCTCCTCTTTTCAAAAAAAAAAAATAGATGGACTAGTCCTGGCAAACTGCCATCGTTGCGCGTGACGCAAACGTTATTTTTATATATATAAATAAATATGCCGTTTTCAAAATAAATTTATGCAAACCGACACACCTGATGATGACCGTTTGAGTTATGGTCGAAACGTCGTGAGAATTTTTTATTGTTTTATATATATTTTGTTATTTTGTTGTTTCTCTTCAACGTGACTTTACCGAAAAAACTAAGAATATGAATTACTGCAGTCACGAAAGCTTTAAATCAAAATTTAATCGCCTCTACGGGGAGGGTTTTCACATAACTTTAAGATCTTTCAACAAACTCCGGGATAAGAAAGCTCAGCTGATCGAGTCTCTCACCTTCCTGAAGAGATGCCGCGACTCTGGGGTAATACCAATCGCATTTACACTCACCTCTGCTACTGTAACTTCTTCTAATGCGAAACGAATTCTTTTCAAAACTAGCTTAGCTCTTATCTCAGAAAAAATCAGACTTATACGCACAGAACTAGATCAGTTAGACAAGACACTCTACAAATCACACTTATCATTGACGGCAATAATGTCCACATCGGATTGGGAACATGTAGACAATATGACTGCCTCTTCAGCTGCTACTATGTCGACCAAATGTAAGGAAAACCTGATTTCCAAATTTAACCTCCTCTTAAACAAAAGACCGGACCCACACACCAAAAAGTTAGACGTTAATAAAGTCGTAATTAATCGCAGTAACAGTTCTATTTCCGATGGTCTGAAATCCGTTTTAGCTAAAGGTCTAAACTTTGCAGTCACACCTAAACACATACCAGTTAATGATATAATTGCCCAAGTAGACGTTGCTCTCAGGGGCCTGGGTCACATCGCTGCAGACGTAGCAAGATCTGAAATCGCTGCAACCCTCAAAAACGCTAAGATGCCAGCTAGCAACCTCAGCAAAGATGAGCGTTTTGAATTATATAAATTAAAAAAGAGGAATGATATTGTAGTTCTCTCAGCTGACAAAGGCAATGCTACTGTTATCATGGATAAAATAGAATACAACAACAAAATTAAAGAATTACTCGACGATGGTAGTTATACAAAAATAAAAAGAGATCCCACCAACAGCCTCGTCACACAAACCAACAAAATAATTTCTGATTCAACCGCATTAATTGATCAATCTAAACAGTTTTCGTTGAAACCTTCTGCTGCCAGGCCACCAAGATTATACGGCTTACCAAAAATACATAAAGTTGATACACCTCTTCGTCCCATAGTCTCTACTATCAGCTCCCCCACCTACAAACTAGCTCGTTTTTTGTCTGAAATCCTGCGTCCTTTCACTGGAAAGACCACCTCTGCGGTACAAAATTCTACTCACCTGGTATCAACAATCAAGGGTATTTCCCTGTCCCCAGACGACCTGCTTGTCAGTTTTGATGTAGTTTCCTTATTCACCAAGGTTCCTGTACCTGACACCATTGCAATCATTGAAGACTTGGTTCATCAAGGACTAAACACTGAGGTACCCCCCCTGGTGAGACACTGTTTAACCAATACATACTTCACTTGGAATGGAACTTTCTACAAACAAACTGAGGGCACCCCAATGGGCTCCCCCCTTTCTCCAGTTATAGCTAACATTTTCATGGAGAAATTTGAGACTGACGCCATCCAGACTGCCACTCTGCGCCCAACCTTATGGAAGAGGTACGTGGATGACACTTTTGTCATCTGGCCACATGGCCGGCCTGCTCTAGACAAATTCTTCGACCACATCAATTCCATACACCCAGCCATCAGATTTACCATGGAAGTCGAAATAGATGGCAAGATACCTTTTTTGGATGTCCTAATTAAAAAGAGACCTGATGGTTCAATGAGCCACTCTGTCTACAGGAAAGCTACCCATACGGATGCTTATCTGAAACCGGATTCCCACCACCATCCATCACAGAAGAATTCTCTCATCAAGACTCTGTATCATAGAGCCCAATGCATATCCGACCAGGAACACATAAGCAGTGAACTCAAGCACGTACACCAAGCTCTTAGGGCTAATGGTTACTCCGACTATACAATCCGCAAAGCTATCACTCAAACCATGAAGAAGAACCCTCTTGAGGAGCCTTTCAAAACCATCACTTTACCCTACATTGCTGGGATCACAAAAAAGATCTCCAAAATCTTGAATAAACACAAGATCCAGGTCCGTTTCAACACATTACATAAAATCCGTGATCTGGTTCCGTCTGTAAAAGATGTGATTCCGGACATACAATACCCTGGTGTCTACAAACTAAGTTGCCTCTGTGGTAGTAGTTACATTGGAGAAACCAAACGCCATATCTCGGACCGCATTCGTGAACATAAAGCAGACCTTAAACACGGTAGGACCAACACCTCGGCCGTAGCAGATCATTGTTCTAATTCAGTAGGCTCACATGCCATTGACTTTTCCAAGACGGAGGTTCTTTGTAAGCCATCTGGCTTCCATGAGAGATTCGTTCATGAGGCTATCCACATATACAAACACAGAGACAATTTCAACCGAGAAGATGGATTCTATCTTAGCAATCATTGGAAAGATTTGATAAATCATTTCAGTTCTTGATTGATTGTTCACGCTTACAGTGCCTTTCAGACAGCATACATAAAAACAAATTTCGTCTCCCCCCTCCTCTTTTCAAAAAAAAAAAATAGATGGACTAGTCCTGGCAAACTGCCATCGTTGCGCGTGACGCAAACGTTATTTTTATATATATAAATAAATATGCCGTTTTCAAAATAAATTTATGCAAACCGACACACCTGATGATGACCGTTTGAGTTATGGTCGAAACGTCGTGAGAATTTTTTATTGTTTTATATATATTTTGTTATTTTGTTGTTTCTCTTCAACGTGACTTTACCGAAAAAACTAAGAATATGAATTACTGCAGTCACGAAAGCTTTAAATCAAAATTTAAATTATTAAGTTAAGCTGGTTCAAGAGTAATTTGTTCTATTTATTTTACGTGCATTGCGTACGTTGGTTTTTGGCACAACCACTGTGGCGATGTCACTGTTACTTAGTGGCAAATATCAGCTGCTGTTGTTGCTTGTGCTCGCATTTTGGATACATTAATTATTAATATATATTTTAACAAATACATAATTAACATTCTCCGATTTCACACGTTACACTCCTTACATTCCTTCCAACAAAAGTGTAGCCAAGATTGAAACATGTACCATGATGTTATCTCTTACGATTTGAGTTACAAAAGAAACGGTGCAAAAAAAAAAAACCCACAAATTTCCTTGGAGTGAAAATTCAATCGAGTCCCTTCACACACCCCCACGGGAGTCGACCGCACCCTGCGGCCCCTCTCCCCCCTATCTCGCCGATGACTCACCGCGCCGCATCATCAACAATTAATAGCGTATCACGTTCACCGCACGCAAATTGTTTGTATGGATGGCGTGCAGTCATCATGATTTTTTTTCCCTCACGTCCGAAATTAAAAGTCCGGCTGGTCGCTTGCGCACGCGCGTGGGAGCGCTCGCCACTCGCCGCGCTTTCGTTTCCATTGCCCCGTTTGAATCGACGACTTCCCTGGCGGTGATAATCAACGGCGAGCTTTGCCGGCTCGCTCCTTCGAGGTCGAATGCCTCCCCCCTCGTTGCATGGGAGGGCGGCCGTTTTGCGACGTTGGCTGCGCGAGCAAAGGTACGGCGGCGGCCTGCGTTAAAAAAAGCAACCGCTCACGCGCGTGTAATTTAAACGCCTTTCAGGGGGAATTTTAACCCAATGAAGGTAGATGTTCTCTTTGACTTAAGTACCTAAGTACGCATTATGCAAAATGCAGCCAAAAAAGTTGCCATAATTCCCTTTGTCCAGGAAAACCTCAACGAGTCTTAAGACTCTGCCTCAGGAGGGTCCTGTTGTATTGGGATTTTTATGTCAATTCCATTGTTTAGAAGGAAATTGTAGAACCTGGGGAAAACCCACACACCTGGGGGATAGCAGTGAAAGCTCAGCACGGATGGATTATGTTTGCTGTCCCAGAAACTCAACTAGATCTGCAAAACATTTTTAAAAAAATGTAATGGAATCTTTCAAAGTGTGCGCAGATGTTCAAAAGTAGAGGTTCTTTTGTAGAACTCCCAAAATTAGGCATGCGCTTGTAACTTTTAAAGATTCTCAGACAATCATAGAAGACCTGACTTAGTGTGTTTTATTTTACCCAAACGCACTCAGCAGCAAACTGGAACATTTTCCAGACTGAGGTGCGCCTGTTTAAGAATGATGGAAGAGTAGCTGAGAGCAATGGCTGCCTAACTTTTCTGACCTTTGACCCCCCCTCCCCCCCGGGCTCTCTCTCTCCCCCTCCACAAGCCAGGCCACCGATTTGAAGACGTACCAGGGGTTAGGCGTCACCTCGTCAAGAAGAGTTCCAGGTCGTCGCGTGCTCACAAGGCTCACTCCAAACCGGGTCCCAAGAAGCTCTGTGACCGCCGGCCACACGAGGTGCTGCTTGTGCTGCTGTTAATGTTTCTATTGCTACTGCTGATCTGTTGTGTTGTGCTATATTTTTCTATGTTTCCACTGCTGTTGCTGCTGCTGCTATTGTTGCTGCTGCTGCTGCGATTGTTGCTGCTGCTGCGATTGTTGCTGCTGTTGTTGTTGCTGTTTTGCTACTGCTGCTTTTAGTGCTACTGATGATATTCCGTGTTCTGTTTTGGTGGTGTTCTGCTGTTGCTGCTGCTATTGCTGCTGTTGTTGTTGTTGCTGCTGCTGCTGTGCTGTGTTATGGTTTTCTGTGTTTCTGCTGCTCCTGTTACTGTTTCTGACGCTGCTGCTTATTCTGTGTTGTGTTCTGGTGGTGTTTTGGCGTTGCTGCTGTTGTGGCTGTTGCTGGTTGCTGCTTCTACTTTGGTTACCGTTGATATGATGTTTCGTGTTGTGGTGTTCATGTGCTGCTGTTGCTCTGCTGTGTTGCTCTTACCTCACGGTGTTGTGCTGATTGGTGTTGCGCGGGGTGTTTGGCTGTCCCTGCTGTTAGTATTGCGCAGCGTAATCGAATGCATTTGCCATTTAACGTAAGGTCACGCAGGAAGCCGTGCCATTAGAAAATGTACGTCCGTCTGGTAAACTGCGAATTGCAACATCTCTTTGAACTTTTGAAATGTTACTTTGGTTCTCTAGTACATCTGAACAAACGAAATGCATCACGTAATTTTCGAAAACGAAACGAGCGTGTTTTACCAGAAAATTACACGTGCTCTTAGTTTTAATGAAGACAGCACATCAACCAAGTTGTCAAGCAGACACTACCTGTTGATTTTGTCCTGCTCCGCCTGCGATCATTATGGCTACGACAAATTCATCCCAAATGCACCCGATATTGTTGAATCTCAGCAGCTGAGCAGGCTTGAGCCTGGTCGGTATTCGGATGGATGACACCTGGGGCTTGCCTTGAGGTGTTGTCGGCTTCGGGCCGCATGATGAAAACCCAGCATGCACGATGGGTTTTCACTCTCTGGGTTTTCTCTCTCTGGGATCACTGGTTTACTCTCCCATGCCAAACACTTACTAATGACATTGGCCAAACATCTTGATGCAGGACCCTCCTACAACACAGTCAGGGAGACCCTTTGAGGCTTTTCCACATAAATGGCATTATTATTTCCCAATGGAGGAATGGAGAATGAATAACACTTGGACTGAGTGTTGCAGTTAATCGCCAATCCATGCTGGCAACGTTCTGTAGAAGGCAATTAGTGTGTGCATGCAGTTGTTTCTGTTTTTTTTAATTACATAGGCGAGCGGTATCTAATTTTCCACTTGCGTGTCCGGCCACTGCAATACACTGTTTCCTATTGCACAGGCTTTGATTGGTTCCTAAGGGGTTTTAAACCGTGAAATTAAATAACGGGCGCACGGTTGGCCGACTAACAATCCAGCCCAGTCTACCTTATGCGTGCATAGCAACAGCATTACCATGTGTTTTGATTAGCAGACCCGATCATATTCCAATTATACATTTGTTGTTACAGATTATTTTTAAATCCTCTTTGGATTGATATTCGCTTGATTATTTACATTTTTATTTCTGCTCTTTATCATTAATTTAATGGAAAATATCACCTTTGATAGTGACGTTTTTGTTGTTGTAAACACATTTGTTAACCGGACGCGGTAAGGCGCTCACACAGTGTTAGCCCACTGCAGAGAGAGCGAGAGGAAGCGGAGCAGGTGAGGGTTTACAGGCAGCGTTGCTGACATAGACTCGGTAAGAAATCGACGTTAATAAGAGGTGCGCTACAGTTACGGGGCCACCAGGGCTGGGGCTGAACGGGCATTGCCGCGAGTGGCGTTCTTGCTGGCAAATGCTGCTTCCTATCCTTGTGCCGGGACTTTCGGCAGATGCCGTGTTAAACCTCCGTCATCATTGTGGCTCTGTCTCTACTTAGGTTAACTTTACCCAGTCACGGTCTTTTTCTCCACGGTCCAAAATCTCATCTCATCTCCTGCTCTCTTGCTGTGGATTTGCTCTACAGGCCAGGTTGCGAGCAAAATAATGTTGTTACTGCTCGGCGAAATGTTTTTATGTTTGTCCTGTTAATTATATTTCCTTTCTTTGTGAAGTTATATTTTATAACTTAATCCCAAAAAAAACCTCCTAATTATTTGTGCATGTGCATGCCAAAATTTCTTGACGTATCTGTTTTAATGGTATCCTTCTCGTTTCCCTTTCTCTTTGGTTTTCTTTCACCAATTTCACCACCACGTTTGCATCTGCTTTCCCTGGCACCTGCTGCAGGCTCACCTCTGATCCCTTGCCCTGGCTAGGCTGTGAGGCCGCAATACCCTTTGACCCGCTGTACATACTTTTTCTTCATGCTCAACTTGTGTTGCCTGGTCCCCCCCCCCGTAAGTTCCGCCTCAATATCTTCCTCTCCCTCTTCTTTTATTTTCCTCTCTTTCTCCTCCCTTTACCATCCTACTCAGGTTTCTTTTGCATTGCATCTCTTTTTATTTTAACCTCCCATTTGTTCACGTGTTTATTGTTCCCTCTACTGAGTTATAAGCATAAAAGCCACACCGTTTAATAATACAAAATCTTTTATAAACGTTAGAATACTTGTTTTCTGAAGAGAAAAAAAACTGGCACTCAAACATATTGCTTTGGCCTATTTTCTTCGATTGTGCGGCCTGTTAGCCGATGCAGGGTATTTTGTGACGGGCATCTGCTGCTGACTTACGCAAGATCGCAGAGTTGGCAAGTCATAATTTTTCACCTCGTCCCGTGTAGCGATTGATGGGTGCTTCTGGGAGAGTGTCGTTTCATATCCAGCCGCGTGTCCTCTCCTGTAGAGAGAGCGGGCGGACGGGTGAACGGACGGTCGAGCGAGCGTAGGGCTCGCACCGCTGGTGGCGCACGGAGCCATGCTACTCCTTGCCGCTTCACGATGGTACGTGCCGGGCCCCGCCCCCGGGCGCGTGCAGGTGTTCGTGGAGCTCAACGAGCTGGTGATGGACCCGGCCCGCCAGGAGCTGCAGTGGAAGGAGACGGCACGCTGGATCAAGTTTGAGGAGGACGTGGAGGCCGAGACGGACCGCTGGGGCAAGCCGCACGTGGCGTCGCTCACCTTTCGCTCGCTGCTCGAGCTGCGCAAGGCCATCGCGCACGGTAACGTCGTCTTTGCATCGTCGCTGCGCTGATGATTGTGTCATTGTGCGGTGGGGCGGAGGGAGGGGGGTGATAATTTCGTACGGCACTTTAAAAGCAACTGGTGAGTTTTATAAAAGTGTAAGTTGAGTTTGGAAAGACGTTCGGTGGAATCTGGGGTTGCCAGACAGATTCCATTTGAACCTCCTGCAAAAGCACATGTAGGACGATTATCCGTGATGGATTGCACTTCCCCGAAGTCACAATTAGGAGTCCAAACTGCTGAGTTTCTGGATTTGTATTTGGGTTTTATTTACTCATTCAACATTTTGATTTGTTAAACTCGAACCTGGTTTTTGTTGTGCTATTTAACTTTTGTGTTTTAGTTTAAACCAGTTGTCTCAAGTGTAGTTGATGGTCTCAGCCTCTTGGCCAGGTATGACTGCACAAATAGCTTATTCCAGCTGTAAAAAAATGGGTTGATTGCCATGTAGTGAAGACGTTGGAGGCCATATAAAAAAAACTTCCCCTCATGTGGGTAAAGAGACATTGGCTAGTGCAGAGAACACTCGTTCATTCCTGCTTCGTAATCTGCTCCAAGATGATCATATGCTTCCAAGCCTAGTTTCTGATGTAAGGTGGTGCACCACTATATGTGCGAGTTGTAAATGAAATGCGTTTCCTGTCTCGGCACCACGCCTGTAGCACAAATGGGAATACAAATAAAATAAAACCCAAGAATGGTCCAAGCACAGTACGTGGCATCCGTCTGTTTGTATCGCCATATCGCTGTAACATCCTGCTCTCGTACGTCTCGCGTTCTCGGCCGCGTAGGGACCGTGCTGCTGGACCTGGAGCAGAAGAGCCTCGCAGGCATCACGCACCAGGTGGTCGAGCAGATGATCATCTCGGACCAGATCACGGAACAGGAGCGAGCGAGCGTTCTCCGCGCCCTGCTGCTCAGACACAGGTGCGCGTCGCTAAGCAAACTCCACGACCGCTCGCTCGCTCGCACACAGGCAGCGGACACAGGTGGGGTAACAAAAGAAGAGTGAGTGCAGTTCTAAGACAATACAATGACTCGCACACAGATGGGCAAGTGCGGTATAAAATACAAGGGCTTTTTTATCGGTGTCATCGCCCTTGTGGGTCATAATAATTATTAAGAATATTTATTTATACTGGAGGAATCCGATGAGCTATGAAGCTCTTATTCACAGATGTTCCGGTCAGAACGTTGCAATAACATCAGATCGTTTCAGCAACATTCCCGACATCACTATTGACTGCCCCTCTACTGAACACTTTGTTGAGCAATATTGTTTATTTTAGAAGATCTGGCCCTGAAGTGATAGAGTAATTTGGGCATAGTTTTGGGGAGCAATGGTGCAATGATTGGCGCACTGCAACATGAAAAAGCAGTATCCCGAGTTCGATTCCCAGCCACGGTGAATGTTGTAGAGGAGGGATATCTGAACCGGTCCTGGGCACCTACCTCTTTCCACCAACTTACACTGACTGGTGTGGTGAAGTATGGTCAAACAACTCCCACAACCAATGCGGAGCGGGGAGGCCTCCATCGATCAGATCAATGGATTGACATAAGGTTAAACATGACTTTATCTTATTAATTCACTCGCTAAGCCATTCCCCTCTCAGGAAACGCACATCAAAACTCGGGAAACGCACATCAAAATCGCGGGCTTCATTTCAGGACGCGTGCAAAAGGAATAGAAAGAGCGGCTCACTCTGGGAGGGCGTGTGCGTTCTCCACAGGCATCCCAACGACGCGAAGGAGACGACCTCCTCCTTCCTACACCGCAACGTCTCGGCGGCGAGCCTCAGCTCACTGCTGTCGGGCACCTCGGCCACCAGTGCCCACGGGACACAGAACCACTCGGGGGGCGAGCCGTCCGTCACCCAGCCCCTCGTGGGGGACGGCGCCATCGAGATGAGTGATCTGCAAGAGGTGGGAGCCTCGCACAAAGACAAAGATTCCCCAACCCCCACCACCACGTAGCCTACGGAAGCTGTTGGGGCAAGTGCTATTAGCGAGCACCTATGAAGGTTGGCATGGCACTCGTAGGGGAAGGTGGCCCAGCACTATGCTGGTCCGCATTTGTCTCCCCAGCGCATTTGTCTCCCCTCGTAGGGGAAGGTGGCCCAGCACTATGCTGGTCCGCATTTGTCTCCCCAGCGTACTCGTTTAAGGTGCACACACACGTTCCTGGGTGTGCGTAAGCGCTCAGCAGGCATAGGCTTGAAGTCCTAGTCTTACCAAGCTTTGCTATGAATGCAGCATCTCACCACTTGCTTGCATTGCTGGGACAGTCGCAAGTCAATGTAATTTTCTCTCATGTAATGTTATCGTTCAAGATGATGAGACACCTGGAGCCCCTCTGAGTCAGACACTGAAGTGAACTGGTGGCATTGACTCAGAGTTGTTTTATGTGTACAGTAATGTTTTAATTGATAAGGTCACAGTCGCCTGTTCTAATGCATCAATAAATCAGATGGCTCTTTCATCTAAGCCTTAAAGCAAGATGAAAAGTCCATGATATAGCTCATCACTTTGGTATAGAGGACATCAATAAACATGATTTAATAATCGATTGTCCTATAAGCTAAAATATGAACGTTGAATAAGGTGGCAGTGTACATCCATAAAATTAAAATTAAGGCTGCATGCATCAATGCTTGGCTCGTTAAATGCTAACACTGAAATCTGTTTTGTGTGATGTGTGTTTGCAGCAGCTTCGTTACATTGACCGGCAAGACCATAGGCTGACATTGAACGCCTCTGTCTTAACATCTCTTTTTATTCTTGGTTCTTTTGGTAAAGTCACGTAGAAGGGAAACAATAAAATAATAAAAATATAAAACAATAAAATTCTCACGATGTTTCGACTGCAACACAAGCAATCATCATCAGGTGTGAAAACTACAGCAATAAAATTTGAAAAAAGTGGCGTTTTTTAACATTAGCACCACGGAGAGCGATTTGGCAGTTTGTTCAGATGGACGAGTCCATCTATGTTCGGAAAAGAGGAGGGGAGAGACGAAAATAATGGATGCGGTCTGAAAGCCACCGTAAGCGTGAACAATCAATTAAGACCCGAAATTGTTTATCAAATCCTTCCAATGATTGCTAAGCCAGAATTCATCTTCTCGGTTGAAATTGTCTCTGTGTTTGTATATGTGGATAGCCTCATGAACGAATCTCTCATGGTAGCCAGATGGCTTGCAAAGAACCTCTGTCTTGGAGAAGTCAATGTCATGTGAGCCTACTGAATTATAACAGTGATATGCCATGGCCGAGGTGTTAGTCCTACCTTGTTTTAGGTCTGCTTTGTGTTCACGAATGTGGTCTGAGACATGTCGTTTGGTTTCTCCAATCTAACTACTACCACAGAGGCAACTTAGTTTGTAGACGCTAGGGTACTGTGTGTCCGGAATCACATCTTGTACAGACGGAACCAGATCACGGATTTTATGTAATGTGTTGAATCGGACTTGGATCTTGTGTTTATTCAAGATTTTGGAGATTTTTTTTGTGATCCCCGCAATGTAGGGTAAAGTAATGGTTTTGAAAGGCTCCTCAAGAGGGTCCTTCTTCATGGTTGGAGTGATAGCTTTGCGGATTGTGTAGTCGGAGTAACCATTAGCCTTAAGAGCTTGGTGTACGTGCTTGAGTTCACTGCTATGTGTTCCTGGTCGGATATGCATTGGGCTCTATGGTGCAGAGTCTTGATAAGGGACTTCTTCTGGGATGGATAGTGGTGAGAATCCGGTTTCAGGTAAGCATCCGTATGGGTAGCTTTCCTGTAGACAGAGTGGCTCATTGAACCATCAGGTCTCTTTTTTATTAGGATATCCAAAAAAGGTAGCTTGCCATCTTTTTCGACTTCCATGGTAAATCTGATGGCTGGGTGTATGGAATTGATGTGGTCGAGGAATTGGTCTAGAGCAGGCCGGCCATGTAGCCAGATGACAAAAGTGTCATCCACGTACCTCTTCCATAAGGTTGGGCGCAGAGTGGCAGTCTGGATGGCGTCAGTCTCAAATTTCTCCATGAAAATGTTGGCTACAACAGGAGATAGGGGAGCCCATTGGGGTGCCCTCAGTTTGTTTGTAAAAAAAAGCCACTTTTTTCAAATTTTCTTGCTGTGGTTTTCGCACCTGATGATGATTGCTTGTGTTGCAGTCGAAACGCCGTGACAATTGTATTGTTTTATATTTTTATTATTTTATTGTTTCCCTTCTACGTGACTTTACCGAAAGAACCAAGAATATGAATCCCTGCAGTCACGAAAAGCTTAAAATCAAAATCTCTTATTTGTATTATGTAATTTTTTTCGGACAGCAGAAGGACAGTGTGTCAACGGGGAGCGACCCCCTATCCAGGAATAAGTCTCGGCCAGACCTCAAGCTTCTGGAGAAGATCCCACATGGGGCGGAGGCCACCATCGTCCTTGTGGGTGGGCATCAAAGCAGTCTGCTCAACCACGCTCTCTGCTCAACGCGCTCCACTCACCTGCCCTTCCCATTGACCGACACTTACCACTCGCCTACATCTTCCACTCACCTGTACAGTCTGCCAAGTTGTGACTCGGCCACTGTGCTAACAGGCATTTGACCAGAGAGGCCAGTCCTGGAGTTTGGCTACCACACACTGGGCCCAACATCTCAACTCCAGAACTGGCTTATGACACCAAATGCCTGGCCGCCCCAGTGGCCCAGTCCAGCCCTTTGGCATACCTGCGCAGGCTTCTCCAAAATCAACTGGCGTCAATGCGCCGGCGGTGGCATTGTGTGTGTGTCTGCCGCTTGTGTTCGCAGGCTGCGTGGATTTCCTGCAGCAGCCGGCGATGGCGTTTGTGCGGCTGAGCGAGGGCGTGGTGCTTGAGTCCGTGCTAGAGGTGCCCGTGCCGGTGCGCTTCCTCTTCGTGCTGCTGGGCCCCCAGCAGGCCAGCGTGGACTACCATGAGATCGGGCGTTCCATCTCCACGCTCATGTCCGACAAGGTGCCGTGCCCGGCATGCCCACCCAGCCCTGTGCGAGCTGTCGGTTCGCGATGCCCCGTTACGTGGCAAGAGTAGTGGATAGTGCGTTGTTAATCCATGTGTAAAAACCGGTGTGTGATTATTACATGAGTTCTTTGCCGATAGGCAGTTTCTTGACGCACGTTCCCTCCATACTGGCTTAACTTAAACTTCATTTTAGCAGCTTTCTTTTCCATGGCCATCGATGGCCTCCCATAATTTTATGAATCAGCACCTTATTACTTTTACCACTTATGTACCCCACTCTGTTTCTCTTTATGGCTGCCCAACTGATTTCCTCCATTCAACCTCAGGTGCTCATCTCACAAATTTCCAGTCTTCTAATGGCTCTTTTTGGTACACTATCAAGGCCTTTACGAATCACTTCAATGCCCTTTGCAATCCATCTCATAAATAAATGGTAATGAGACCCTATCCATCTATCTTTCCTTCTGGCCAACCTTACCTCCGACCCCACGATTCTGACTCGCGACCCCTTGCCTCCACCCCCCACGCCTGGTTAGGATTTCCATGAAGCAGCGTATCTGGCGGATGAGCGGCAGGACCTGCTGACCGCCATCACAGAGTTCCTGGACTGCAGCATCGTGCTACCCCCGTCGGAGCTCACAGACGAGGGTTTGCTGCGCTCCGTCGCCGCCTTCCAGCGCGACATGCTGCAGAAGCGGCGCGAGGAGGATGGGCGGCGCCACCCGCGGGAAGAACCGCCTGTCCAGAGCACCAGGGGTGCGCTTGTGGGTGGGGGGGGGGGCGGCTGTATGTGTGTGGGATGTGCATGGTACATGTAGGAGATACATGCGGGACACTCCTAAGACGTGCGGAATGTGTCAAACGTGTGGATCGTGCGAGTGAGACGTGTGAAGCATGTGTAAATTAAACAGCGAAACAGGCTGGTGCGAGTGTTTGTGCCAGATAGATTTTTACAACCTAGGACCGTCGTGGCTTGATCATGGCTGATGATGCATTCATGGCGCAGCGTGCCATGCTTCCTAGGCGGGCATGACTGTCCGCGTGCTTGGTCAGTGGTGGCAGTGCAGAGCAATTTGACCGATCGGAGTGGGGTGGAGGGTCGTGGCGGTGGCGGGCACCATCCTCACCGGGATGTGGAGGACCCCTTGCAGCGAACGGGGCGGCCGTTTGGCGGGGTGGTTCGTGACGCGCGGCGTCGCTATCCCTTCTACCCAAGCGACATCAAGGACGCCGTGGACCCACAGTGCCTTGCGGCTGTCATCTTCATCTATTTTGCTGCCCTCTCCCCTGCCATCACCTTTGGTGGACTGCTGGGTATGTAAGAATGAGAGGGTGATAAGTGTGTGTGTGTGTGTGGGTGGGGGGGGTAACACAGCAGTTGAGTAGTGGATGTGTAGTGCTGAGCAGTCGTGTAAAACATCACCACTGGAAGGACAAAAGTGGCTGGGCTTGTTGCTAGTCACCCACCCTAGTATGCTGTGCCATCCTTAATGGGCACTTCCTGAGAGCACTTGCCCCAACAGTCCGACTTGTTATTTGGGGAAATCCGTCTTTGTACATCTGTGTGTGCGCATGTGATTGGTTCTGTGTATTTTGGTGCCTGTGTGCCAGGCAGATATCTCCCAAGTTAACTTGTCAGGTAGGGTGGCATCTGTTTGTGAACTGCCCTATGACATAACCACATGGGTTCTGCAGGATTTGACAGGTGGTCTCCCTCTGTAAGGGAGACTGTACTGATTGTAATTACTACCTGGGCATCTCCTCCCTCAGTGTGCCAGGAAAGATCCTCGCAAGGATTAATCAATGTTTTTTCCAGGCATGCTGAGGAAACGTTTGTGGAACTGCTCCAGTGAGGTTTCAGGCCCTGAGGCATCTTGCACAAATGCCTTATTCTTTTTCCCCACTGCTACAGCAGAGGCAGAGGTGTAGGGAATATCAATTGGACCTGCATTGCTGCTGTATGTGTCATGACTCTTGGACAACATGAACGGTAGAGGTGTCTTTATTGATTATTTAGGGCCCTTAAAGTAAATAACTTGGTCAAAAATGACACACAATTGGCAACCACAGTTAACCCTAGTCCCATGGCAGCCCCGAGAACCTTGGCTCTTGCCTCCTTTTGTTGCTGGCCCGGCCCTCGCTCTGCCCCCAGCCATGACCCTTTTTTCAAACTCTCGCCCCTGTTCCTGAACTTCCCAGATGGTTCCCCCTCAGTAACTACCCCTCCTGACCATGCACTGTTCCTGCAATATCTCTACATATGCAGAACCACCTTTGCACTGTAAGTAGCCAACCTTGCTAATTGAAGGTGTGGTGGTAGGACAAACCAACCAGCACAGTTTTAAAGAAATTACCATTTAATTTGGATTTTTAAGTGCATATCGCCAGTGGCTTTTTAAGTGGAAGGAAGAGCATTCCAGATGGCTGCAGAAGCACATCTGATTGTGTGCATTTCCCTCAGTTTGTTTGGTGGCTAGCCAAAAGCTGCTGTGACATTCAAGTTGTGGTTTCTGCTCCTTGACATGGTTAGCAAGGTGTTGTGGTTCATGTGTGGCAAGCACTGTGTAAAGGGACAGGTGCGTTGACCTGGTGCAGGCGTGTGATACTAACAGGCCAGGCAGGGCTCTTGGTTGTTCATGCATTTGGGGGGGGGGGTGCAACTGCTCAGTCATTAAGGACTTATTATGGGGTGCTGCATTGATGTGTTCTGGCTCCCACTCATTTCATTTTTGGCTACAGGTTTTCATGGCTATACCAGAGGCATGTCAAATTTAGATGCCACCTAGAGGCTGATGCATGTCTGCTTATAGTCAAGGGATGGCACCCTATTGGTCAACCATGCTATGCATGCCCCGTGCTGCTCTGAGTTGGAGGTGCTGCTTATTGACCTGGAGCATTCCAGGAAGAGGTGGGGCCTTACCATCAGCCCCAACCAACACCAAGTACCTTCCTGGGTGTTATGTCTGCCCACACTCCACCCCTTTGGCTTCCTATGAGTGATGGGACATTCGAGAGGGTGGATAAGCTGCTGTACCTGGGGTTGTGCTTTTGGCTTGTTTTGGCACCAGAGGTCCAACTGCATGTGTAACTTTCTTTTCATAAGCTTGCCAACATTGTAGAAGCTACCTAGTTCCTTGCTCCACAAAGCTTCCAGTCTTTTTGGTTACAGTCATGTGCTCTTCTCTATGCTTGCAGAGCATGGACTCGAGAGAGCAGCTGCACTGGGTTTTAAAATGTCAGGTTGACCTGCCTAAGAGCCTGGATTTAACCAAGTTGGATTGTGAGGAGCTCACGCATCCTTGAAAAATCTGGGCACATTCCCATTGGCCAGCTCTTCCAATAGGGAAGGCTGTGTTGGCTGGGTGATGTAGCCCACATGCCCAAAGCAGCTTCTGTTGAGGCTGATAAGAGAGGGGGCTAAAACAGCCACCATCCAGGGTAAAGGAAAGCTCGCTTGTTGGTGCAGGAGGATGTGGAGATTGGATTTGCCAAGGACTGATATCAGGGGCATTATGAAGGGTGCTACTGGGCAGTTGGAGGCACCCTACAGCAGAGGTTGGAGGAGCAACTCTCACAGCTGTGTGAAGAGCACCAGGCAGCTGAAATATAGCAAGTTGCCAGTGGTGTGTTCGGTTGGTGCATCTGTCAGTCATCTGTCAGTCAACCCATGGCACTTGGGTCTGTCCCTTGCCCCCTGCCAGCAAGCTTTTTAACACTTCACAGTACAGTCTGGCACAAGCACTTTGGTGACATCACCAGCACCGAGTGGCAAATCACGGTTGTTTGTGTAACTGGTTTATAGCAAGGACCACTCAACCCCAAATGGGTACCTGGGGTGCTGTCTGTAAACATCACTCAGGAGCCAAAGGCAGCCAGGCCTGGTGGTAGCCACTCACCCTCTAGTGTGCTATGCTGGTCTTCAGTAGGTGCTCTTGAACAGCACTTGCCTCAGTCTGTTAAGGCTACACAGTGGGTCTGTCTTTCTTCTCTGTGTGCATCTTGGGAATGTCTATTGTGGGTATTTTTTTATAGTACCCAGAGACACTCCATTATGGCATTTGTCCTTAATACCAACAATTGATATTTAAACTTGTCCTATATTGCTCATCATTCACATTTTGTGGAGTGAATCTACATCAGTGCTGGGAGAACACTCCAATGAACAATACAAATCCTACTACCCCCATGTACACCGTAAAGTCTATAGAGTTATCTGGGCTAAAACTCATTACACAAGGGTATTTTGTGGTGGGAGCATTTTTATGAAAATGTTCACACAACCTGTGTTGGTTCTTCCACCTTAGTGTACACATTTTTGAAAAGCAGATTAATGAGTGTGCCTCCATTCGAATGTAGCCTCAACCAAGAACCTGTGTATGAATGCATGTGTGTATATGTACGTGGTGTGGGCACATGGGTGCCTTTTGGCATACTTTATTTAAAAAGGCAGTTTAACGATCCCCCCCCCCCCCCCCCCCCCAATAAACCTTAGCAAACCAAAGTGATAAATTCTCACCCGCTCATTTCCCACGCCCATCTTGACCTCTGTCCCTATCTCGATCCAAATTTCAAGAAAAGTGCTTTATATTCTTCACCCTTCAAAATTACCTTTATTGCTGCAGTTACAAAACTACGAGACCTCCCGTCGTGGCAGCCGCCTGGCTCCTCGCCCTTTGGTGGAGTCTTAATGCAATCGGTACACCATTTTCCTCGTCCCAACACAGGGGAGAAAACACAAGGGCTCATCGGCGTGTCGGAGCTCATCATCTCCACCTCCATCCAGAGCATATTCTTCGCTCTGCTCAGTGCCCAGCCGCTGCTTATTGTGGGCTTCTCGGGACCCCTCCTCGTCTTCGAAGAGGCCTTTTTCTCCGTACGTATACTCTCCCCGGGAGATGGCAGTGTCCATTGCCGTCTCTCTCCACCCAGTCCTGGCATTGACTTGGTGTTGGGAACATGAGGGGAAATTGGGAGGCAAATGCACAGGTTTTGCTTGCCACCTCTCACCTTTGATCCCCATCCCAATGGTGGGCATCATGGTATTTCGTTGGCTTGTAAACTATCGTTTACTTGTTCCATTCGTTAAAATATGGTTTGCAGGGCATGGCCTGGACACATGCAAGGTTTTGGTTAATATGACCGATTTTGCTTTGGATGTGGTAAAACTTATCCTGATAAAACAAAAATAAAAAAAAAACCTTAATCCCCTCCCTGTTCTCCACATAGTTCTGCTGGTCCCAGGATGTGGAGTACCTGACAGGGCGGCTGTGGATCGGCTTCTGGCTCATCCTTATCGTGCTGCTCACGGTCGCCTTTGAGGGCAGCTTCCTCGTCCGCTACATCTCGCGCTTCACGCAGGAGATCTTCTCCATCCTCATCTCCATCATCTTCATCTACGAGACATTCTACAAGCTCTTCAAGGTCAGTGTGCAGGGTCATTTGCAGCTGCTTCCACCACAACATCGTGCCGACAAAATAAGGAGAAAGAGCGGCAACTTTGATAAACTGTCACCGTATTGGGCAGGTGTGGGCTTATGAAGGGTGGCGGGGGGGGGAAAAGACTAACTGGGAGACATCTGTGGCTATAATTTGGAGGTCATGCCTGGAGCAACAAGTGGTGTAATAATGCATAAAGTTTTAATTGAGCCATAAGCTCAGTATAGAACGTCAAGTGCCTTAAATCAGCTGTTCTCTGCATGTTTGCAGCACTTCTTTTGCACCGTACCTAGCCAACCGTGCTAATCAGGTGCAGTCATGCGTGTAGCTACTGGTCAGGCAGGAGGGGAAGACCTTTCATGGTCTGGTTAATAACTTTCAGCTCTTCCCAATCCACTGCTGGGTGGTCTGCTCGTACCCGTCATTAGGTTTCATTTTGGACACCCGTAAAACTCATTGGGCAATGAAGGCTAATTTTTGTTAAATTATGACCTGGTTACATAAGGGCACTAGCTACTGTAAACGAGCCAAAACAACTGTACATGGTCAAGTTCCAAATGGAAAATGTGAGCATCGACATGGTAACAAACAGGACAAAATTCAAGACTTGAAGGATGCACCATACAAAATGAATTTAGTCTGCACATACGTGAAAAGAAATCCGAGGTCCAAAATTTAATTTTAAAGTGGGACAAGGATGGCATGTCTTTTACCTTAAAACGTCGTCACCCTCGGTTACTCCAGGGATTAGGGGCTACCACACGCAAGCAATGTAACAGTTTTGTTCTCCCATGGGGGACGGAACAGGAACAGCGAGGAGCTTCATCCTGTCCTGAAAAGACATTTTAGGGGAAGGAATTATTTGTACTACATTGTGCATTCTCCTCATCCGTTTTGCGTCTGCTTCCCACACGTCCCTGAAACAGGTGTTCAAAGAGCATCCCCTGCTGAAGACTTACACCATAGGAGGTACAGACTTGGCCGGTAGTGGAGTGTGGGGCAATGCGAGCATGGTCATTGGTTCGGCGACGGCGGCGGCAAGGAACGACACTGATGCGCCCACCAAGATGCCAAGCCAGCCCAACACTTCGTTGCTATCTTTGGTGCTAATGTCCGGCACATTCTTCATCGCATTTTTCCTACGCAAACTCAAGAACAGCCGCTTCCTTGCCGGAAAGGTACGGGAGCAAGAAACGTGCGCATTAACACGCAGCAAATGGAACGCATTACGAACCCACACATACAATATTAAATTCCTCATGTGAGACGGCTTTTGTTTTGAGATATTTTTTTACTTTGTTTGCTTTTGTCACATTGGTAACCCAGGTAATGAAATTGCCCTAATCTGTCAAGTAAAAATAAACTTGAAACCATTTAATTTCATTTATTAGGTATAACCCTGTGAGCCATGCGGCTCTTGACTCGGGTGCAGCCGCTACAAAACATAAACATGAACAAGAAACATCTTAAAGTGACTACACGGAACAGAAAAATCCTGGAAAAAATAAGTCTTCCAGGAAAAAAAACACCGTATTTCAACGTTGTGTGCAAAAAATCCCAGTGGGATGGAAGTTAAACAATTCCTACCACACCAATCTAAAAACATACAAAAACGGATAACTTACACACAAACATGCACATTAACGCTTCCGCACATACGTGCCCACGCTTGTGCTCACCCATGCCCGAGAAGGCTTACGAAGGCAATAACTGACAGTGACCAGAGTTCTGCACCGGTGCTGCAGGTGCGGCGGGTTATCGGGGACTTCGGAGTACCCATCGCTATCCTCATCATGGTGCTGGTCGACTCCGCCATCCCCGACACCTACACGCAGGTTCAGCTGCCCTCCTCCCCACAATGCTTGGCACTTAAGATTGTTTTTGACAGGTAGGAGGTAGCCTTCTCCTCCTTGGGTTGGCCCTACCTCACTCCCGTTGTCCTTGAGCGCACCGTGGCCTCGACTCTGGTACAGATGTTCCACCGATCCATAAAGTTCCCATTATATCAATGCACCATCAAACTACGGTGTAGTGTAGGCCTTTACTCACAGCGTCAAACTTGGCAGCGGGCTGTAAAGTCGACTCTGCGCGCCTCGGTGCCGTTTTGCACCAGAGATTTTCTATATGCGATGCATTCCACTAGCCTTGTTGTGTTGGTTGCAGCACGTTTGATGCACGACTTTCCCAGTCACAAATTTACCATGTATAGATGTTTTTGGATTGTCCATGTTTTTGATTTAAGAAGATTTATCGCGTAAACCAGGTCCCCATCGAAACGTGAGAAATGTGTGCCCATGGCTGCCTCTGGGAGTGCAGCTCCCTTCCACTGCAGGCAGTTGGTGTCCCCAAGCCCTCTATCCCCTCCGTTATGCTCTGAGCTCTCCTTTTATACACAGCCCCTGGCCATCCCTAGCCAATGGGAGAGCAGCTCCCCCCTAAACCATCGTCACACGTGGCTGCCTACCTAATTTGACAAGTTTTCAGGCATATGAAAAACCAACCCAATTGTGAGCAAGAAATTCATCACCCTGCTGGGGAGATGAGTCATTCCCCCTTCACACGTGCAAGTCCCACAAATTGTGAACAAAGTGGTAATCCACTTATCTGCGGGTGATCATCCACTTCACTTATACGTGCAAGTTAAGCTAATTACAGCCAATTACAGCCACACTTAATTGGCTGCAGGAACGCATTTCGAACCAATGGGTGTTCTGACCACAAGATAATACTCAATCATGGCAGTCATCCCATTGTCAGCATGGTTAAAAGCCTGTCCTTGGAGTGGTAACTGCACCACGTCACTCTAAGCATAAACACTCCTGTTTCTACTCGTAAAACATGTAATGCTTTGTTTTTTCATTGGCTCCTCTGGAGTTGTGGACCCTTGTCAAATGCCCCGTTTGTCCAGTCATTGTCTTGACTGCATGCTCGATGGCTGTGAGCAGCATCATTTGAAACTATTTTCAGAAACGTAGTTAATGTGTCGCAACAGTTTGCGCCGCAGCGGAAATAGTTTTGCTGTAACGGTCACGTTCTTCCAATGACCCAAGGTATTTGACATGAGCTAAATAAACAGGCCGGTCTGGAAGCCTTTGAAACCTAGAGCTGATGCCACTGTCGTATTTCCTGTAGTGTTTGGTCTGGAATCAGTTCAACAGAAGTATGTCTTTATAATGTCTTGCCATGTTATGATGGCACTATAGAAAAAATAATTATTACATTGACGCCAATACCGACACCACCCCAAATCTGATGCCAATGGCCACCACCCCGTTTTTACCGTTCGCAGAAGCTCGCGGTTCCAGACGGGTTCTCGGTGACGTCGCCCGACCAGCGCAGTTGGCTCGTGAATCCACTGGGCGTGCGATCAACCTTTCCCGTGTGGATGATGTTCGCGTGCGTGGTGCCAGCGGCGCTCGTCTTCATCCTCATCTTCATGGAGACGCAGATCACCACGTGAGTCCGCCCAAAAAAATGACGGGAATCCAACCAGCTGTGTGTACTCTATCCTGAAACTTCAGTTTCACAAAACGGAAAGACCTCCTGGACTGAATCAAGGTGCAGAGGATGCCCAGAATGTTGTAAAATAATAGGGCAAGCAACTTGGAAGTTCATGAAAGAATGCTGCAAGAAAGCATTGTAGATGCATTCGGGAAGAGGTTGTTATGAATGGGACACGTGTGCAGGATGGAGGTGTGGGCAGCTTACCGAGACAGGCACTGGAATGGCATGTGTATGTTGGTGACAAAGACGAAGAATTAACACGTAGGCTTTCTGGACCAATATCATCCATAAGAGGTTTTGTTGGGTTAGATCGTGTAAATATGTGTCGTTAAACCCGCCACCACCCGACACAGCCAACTAGTAAGGGTTGTTACGTAAATGTTGTGGCTTGGCTCTCCAACAAACTGGTGTGCGACTCGTGGATCTATAAGAATGAAGGAAGCGATGGCGTGGTGTGGTTGCACCACTGACATTTAGCAACGTCGCCTCCTTACTCTTTAAGCTGCAATGCTGATCCTAATTCCTGCTGTCACCGGTAATCCTAAACCTCCGTGCTGGGATAATTGCTAATTCTTAACACTCTTTTTTTAACACTTTATTTTAACCTTCAAACTTGCAATGCTATTTGAAGCCTTTATATTTTGCTCCAGTGACCTTAGTTTCAACTCTAATTAATAATATTCTGTTTGTGCTGAGAACATTAATCCACAGCACATCGACTGTTGCTGCAGCCCCAGTTTTATTTATAGGTCAAAAATAAATCAATAACAAATGGGAAGCCATTTATTTATTACAAGTTTTTTTATTCAATAATACTGTCAGAAAACAATAACTCTTATGCCATGCATTATAGACAATGTATATTGGCTTGCATTGAATAGTGTATTCAATATCATATATAAGATTGCACTGTGCCACCACCCCCCCCACCTATCTTATACATCTGTAAAATGCCTCTAGTGGTTGCACATCCAAGAACTGTGTTGTAAATTGCACATTTTAAAAAAGAAAGTAAATAATGATGTTATTACCCGAGGAGTATCATCCTGGCTCCCGAGTTGTACTTGGTGAACTTCGTTCCACTTCAGCAGCACAGAAGCCAAAAAGTCTCACTAATTTTAGTTCACTTTTCACACTGACAAGAGGTTTTCCCTCCATGTGACGGGCAGGGGGAGGGGGAACGCCCACACCGCTCCACTTGCCGCAGAAGGGGCAGTCCCCACACTCCCTCCACACGTGACTTCCTGTCCAGACAACGTTGTCACGAAACACCTCGATAATACCATTACCTTCCATCACAACGTAAGCTTGCTATTCTGGCTATTATTATTGCTCAATGCTAAGGTTTCATAGAAACTTTCAGTTTGCCAGAAGGGGGCGTATTTTTTCAGTGTGATTTTTACCAAATTACATTTTGCCAAATTTATTTGGAACGTGACACCAGCATATGTGACCAAACTTTTATTCGAATAACGTCACGGGATCCGCAATGTCGACTGTGTGGCGGACGGCGCCTAGTTCTGGTCAATGCCCTCCGCAGTATTAACCAGCGCGGACGCTGGGCTCAAGCCACAAACATCTGTAACAAGTGGCGTGCCACTCACTGGCCAAATGGTGATCGTGATTGATCGTCGCTCGTACCTCCACCCCCCAACCTCTTTGGACACCGCAGGCTGATCGTGAGCAAGAGCGAGCGCCGTCTCGTCAAGGGCTCGGGCTTCCACCTCGACCTGCTGCTCATCGTGCTCATGGGCGGTGCGAGCGCGCTGCTCGGCGTGCCCTGGCTCACGGCCGCCACGGTGCGCTCCGTCACGCACGTCAACGCGCTCACCGTCATGAGCAAGGCGACGGCGCCCGGGGAGAAGCCGCGCATCGAGTGCGTCAAGGAGCAGCGCGCAACGGGGCTGCTGGTGGCCGTGCTCATCGGTGAGCAGCCAAGAGGGCACGCGATTTACATTGCACACCTTTGACGGGGGGGGGGGCGGGGGAGATTCTTCTTTATTGGAAGACTTAAACGATCCGTTTTGATGAGTTAGTTTTGTGCAGGGCTTGAGATGGGGAATGGTGACGATATCGATGCCCGTGAAATTAGTGGTGTCCTTAGAAATTCTTGGTAACCCACGACAGTTGCTTGCCCAGAAAGTAGTGCTTTGTTGAGAGTTGGCAGATTAATGAATGGAGTGAGTTCATTTTGCGGTCATCCGTGGGGTGGTGATCAGTGGTCCAAATGGGCCGGTCGACAACGGTACGCCGCTGTGGCACTTCTCGTGACATAAAACATGTTCACCGGCACCAATCAGAACATTTTAACCTCATGCAACGCTCGTAATATGGAAGAGAAACAACAGATAACGTGAGCTGCGGGACAAATAGGGTTCAGACCAGGACACCCATAAAGTTTCAATTTTGACCACTCGTGATGATACACTACAGTACTATCAATCAAACGTGTGTTTGTTATGCTTTCCGATGAACCTAGAATAGGTTCTCTAAAAACACATCTGTGTTGTTGGATTATCGAATTTTTCCACGACGACCACCCATTGACGACGAAATGGCCACGTGGCCGATTGTAACAACTGACGAGCCGTGGTGGCTGGCGCCGTTGCCCCCTGCAGGCCTCTCGGTGGTGCTGGGGGAAGTGCTCAGGAGGATTCCGCTCGCTGTGCTCTTCGGCATCTTCCTCTACATGGGCGTTACGTCGGTCAATGGCATCCAGATGTACGACCGGCTGCTGCTTGCGTTCATGCCGGCGAAGCATCACCCGGACTCGGCCTACGCCTCCAAGGTCTGTGCGCCACTGAACTCCGAGCTCAGACACCGAATTCAAACCCTGCCGCAACTCCCGAGTAATCAGACACCGAGGTCCAACCCTTTCCCATGGAATCAGGAAAACTGAAAAGAAAATAACTTAATCGGTATGCCCTCAAGTTAGAAAGGCTTATCGAGGCACCCACAAGGCCATGCGGGAGAGCGTGTGGCACAGTTAGGCATCAGTTATCATAGAGTGCGGTCGTGCCGCTACAGTTCTTTCCTGCGAGTACAATGTCTTTTAAAACAAAGGCGCTACGCTTTTCTAAATAAAATTAACACAAACCGCTTGTGCGTTCCGAGATTCAGTGTCGATCATCACCCTTCTAGCACTGTATCCTGCCCCAGTCCACTTGGCACATGCGATGTCCTTTTTTAGACTGTTAATGAAAATCCTATCTCCCACCCGAGCCGTTAACTCTCGGCCTGAAACAATCAAGCTCAGGTCCTCCTCCATAAAAACCAAACCCGCAACTCTCAACCACGCGACTCGCGAACCCCTGACCCCCCCCCCCCCTGACCACTGCCGCCTTCGTCGCCGCAGGTCAAGACGTGGCGCATGAACATGTACACGGCGATCCAGTTCGTGTGCCTCGCGCTGCTCTGGGTCGTCATGTCGACGGCCGCCTCCCTCGCCTTCCCCTTCGTGCTCATCCTCACCGTGCCGCTCCGCCACTTTCTGCTGCCGCGCATCTTCACCGCGCACGAGCTGCGCTGCGTGAGTGCTCCGCCGACACGTCGCGCCGCCTCTCGGGGGACGAGGCGGTGGCACGGCGGTCGGGTTGTCGCACCTCGTGGGCGCTCGCCCATCGCCGCAGCGTGGTCGCGTCGTGCTCGTAATTCAGTGGCACAGGCGGTGGGGGGGGTTTGTGCATCGCCTCTGAACTGGCCGACGAACTCGCTGGCCCAGTTCACGACTTTGCTTTCATTATGGTCCCAAGTGCACGTCTCAATTGTAGCAGCGTGTGTTCGTGTGTGCTCCCGATTGTTTGGGATTTCTCTCTCGCGCCCCCAGTTTCTCCCCACCACGTGTAAAAGTACTGAAGTCGGCCGTACATCCCAAATAAGACGATGGTGACATAGTTTTACTGATCCGATGAGGCCGAGCAGAGTAAAGTTAAAATTAAACCTGTGCCATGCAAGAGATATTCGCTGATGATGCATGCATGGACAAAGTGCGATGCACACAAAAAGACAAACATCCCCTGTATAGCCTTAACAGCCTGATGGGGAGATCCAGGACCAGTTCAGACAATCTTAACTGGCGTTGGCTGTGAGCGGAATTCGACCTCGCATTGTTCGGTTAGTAGTGTAGCGCTCCAACCACCATGCTACCGCTGCCTGCAGTTGCACACATGGCCACACGCTGATGTGAATGAGACGTCCATGCAGGACCCTGCACAAAATAAATTGTGAATGCTTGGTGAGCATAAACTCACAAAATTAAGATGATTATTTAATGTCTTGTAAGTAATTTACGGCTCTTTGACAATCCACTGCTGGATAAAGGCCTCCCCGCAGCACCTCAAGTCATGGAAGGGGGGTGGTTATTCTTACCATACTTCACCATTCTGGCGAGTGTGGGTTAGTTAATTGGGACAGATTTAGATTTAACTCGCCACCAATTAATTGAATGGAGGGCGGCGCCAGGCGTAATTGTGCAATACGGTAACCATGAGGCCACGGCTCTCGTGCACAGTACACGTTGCCACGTAGAGAGTTCAAGTGAATGGAGATAAAACGGGCTCACTGGCCGGGGCGTAAGCTCCTCTCCGTTTCATCCGTCCATGGTGCGGACAGGCGTCGTGGGTGATGCGTTTTTTTTCTTGGCAGCTGGACTCTGCCGACGCGGAGCCTCACGTGGATGAGGACGATTGGCAGGACGAGTATGCCGAGGTGCTCATGCCCGTGTGAGCAGCAGCCGCCACCTTCGCTTCCACCTCGACCGCTGCTAGCGCCGACTGCTCCACCCAATGCGACCGGACGAAAGCACGGGGGCTTCCGCACTGCCGCCTCTGGGACGCCAGCAGAATCAGCTGCTCGTTCAGCTTTCCGAGTGTGGAGAGATAGACAGGGCGAGCTCCTCTTGAGGAGCACATGGACCAGAGAGGGGGCGAGACGTAGAATGTTGCTGCTTGGGGGAGCGGACAGAGAGCCGCTCTCGCCAGACATATATGTATACACACAAGTCTGTATCTCGCTTTAATGAAGAGCTTTAAAAGAAGAGAGGTTTCAAAAAATATATCAGGAGCCAATCATTTGGTGCGTTGGGCGCTGAGCGTGCACGCGGTTTCAAGTGCCGGGCGCGTTCAAGTGAGCGCGCGCCCATCGCCACAATGTGCTCACGCGTTACTTTGTTGGTGCTCTTGACACTGCTGCTTAGCTTAATGCTCGCTTGTAGAATAGCAGTCGTGTGTCTCTTCAGAGAAAAATCTGTCATCGCAGGCATCTGCCCTCTGGTGGCGACCTTCGTTTGCCCGATGCTCTTAAGCTACATTTCAAAAAAACCTAACTGCGGTATTTGCACATTGCAGTTTGTCAAAACCAAAAAAAATCAAACCTCTCGACTATTAAGTTTTGCCCTTGAAAATAAAGTATGGCTTTTAAAGAAAAAGTAAAAACTATTTTATATCACTGGGGAGTCAATCCCTGCTGTGAACCACGAACAGGGGCAGATTTGGACCATTTCAGATTTGGAACATTTCGGTGCAAAGATCGCTGCGTGTGGCGTGCGTGCATCCTGTGTGTGGCAAATCTGTGCACGTGCACGCACGTTTTAAGTGATAGGTTCGGGAAGGGTTCCACTGTGCTTCGGAAAAGTGCTGTGAGCCGCCTTTGGTGAATGTGGACAGCTGTTACCGTCTAAGGGTGCTTGACACGTTTGTGACCAAGTATGTGTGCGTGCGTGTCGGTATGATCTGCCTGCGTTGGTTAACTTTTTCGCGATACGTTTCTAATGAGGATAGCGGTAGAGAGATCCCCTTCCTCCCGAACCACGCGTCACAAGGTCGATTGGTACTCGGGAGAAAAGCATTCTGGCGCGACTTGGCACACTTTGCACTGTGCAGTCTCGTGACAGACCACGGTTGTGTAGCGAGTGTTTGAGTGTGACCACGAAGTGCTTTGCGTGTAATAGGTGTACAAAATCGTGGTGTGCTCACTTTCGCAGCTCAATGTAAGATGGGGTTTTGTTCAACGTCGAACCGCTCGGCCCTCTGGATCAGCTCCGGCCGTGCCTCATCCGCCTATCCTCTGAGCAGCCGTAAAAATCGCACAACCGAGCAAAGCGAGCTGATTGGATGGTTGTTGCCGGCTTGGCAAGACTTGCTTTAAAAAAAATTCACTCGGGCATTGTCCCAACCCCCCTTGACACCACCCCCATCCCCACCGTCAGCAATAGCCGATGGCTTTCTAGGATTTTGAAGTGGAGTGAGGAATCCCTTCTGTGCATGCGTGTGTAATATTCGAGGAATCTGGGTATGAGCGGCACTACAGCTGTGTCTGCAACTCTCATTTCACACCCACCGTGGTGCTCTCTGGCTCTTTTTTTTAGGGGGGGGGGCGTTGGTGCTGGGGAAAAAAAGTACTCTTATTTTGTTTATCCAAAAATATTATGGATGTCGGCAATACAATAATGTGTTTAGATGTTCGTAAGCTTCGTGGTTTCTCAGAAGGATGCTTGTTGATGTATGTGTATTATGCCCTGATGAGAATTTGACTTCAAACCAACTTATGTCTGTTTTTCGGGGGAAATTTTGTTTTCGATTGACACTGTCACCTAGAACTGAAAGGAAAACCTAGGACCTGATTTATTATTATGCTGCTTTGTCAACTATTTTGTAACTGAGCTACCTTTTTTCTTCTGCTTAGATTTTAAAATGTACGGTGACTGCTTATAGCTTCAGATATGTCGAATGCAGGTTGCTTGGGACTTGACGGTGGGAATGTCTCACGTTACGAGACTGCTGATATTTAAGTTGAGTTGAGCTTCATGGGGATGAGGCTCGCCAGCATTGTATGCACCTATGTTAAACTTCTTTCGCACCGTACGTAGCCAACCGTGCAAATCGGGGGTGCGGGGGAAGGACAAGAAAGCATTGTGGCTGCTTTGGGAAGGCTTGGACGATCGCTGTAATAAAATATCAGAGGCTGTAACAAGTGATCGTCTATTGACACATTAAGCGGGGTGCTCAAAGTATTCTATTTATTTTCACGTCATATCAGTAGGTGCATTCCTTTTTTTGTAAAATAGATTTAAGTTAAACTATACCAGTGCCAACAATGTTTTTGTCAGTTAAACTGACCGCGTTCAGGGTTTCGATTGGATTGCTTGAATCCGCTGTCCTTTGTAAGCAAATGCGCGTTTAGCACGTATCATTGAAAGTTGTGGAAACATCGGTCGTCCAAGCCCGTGCCGTGCCCTGCACAGTCGACAACTGTGGATGTGTTACGTCTCCGATGTTGGACGAGAACAAAAGGAGCACAACGGGTCCATTGCTCGAGCCGAACCGGCGTGTGTCGGATCGCAATTGTTCCATGCAATCGTGTGAACACATGGAGCCAAATCGGGGAGCGCCCGCGGGTACCACAAGACGGGATTATGGCAAGGACGTGCCTCAGTAGGCATTGAAGATTTGAATCGTTGAGAGAGTGCGGGCCGCGTGGACGAGGTCCCTCTTAAGACGGGGGTGGGGAACCTTTTCCTTACCGAGGGTGGGCCGAATTGGGACTTTGAAAACAACTTTGGCGGGCAACTACACATTAACACGCACTTAGAGCTATCCAAAAATAACACGTAAAATAAATGTGCGTGTCTACCGAGTATAAAAAGGGCCGTTGCAGTGACAGACATGACTCGGCATTCTAAAATTAGAAACGTAGTGTTGCCAGCTCCAACATTCCCCTCTGACACTTGATTAGTGCAGCTAAGGTGCTTGTGGTGCCTGATAGAGCTCTCATTTGCAGGCAATTTCGTGTAGCTGCAGACCGTATGAAATAAAAGGCGAGCTGTATCTTCCCCGCGGGCTGTCGGTTCCTCACCCCGCTCTCAGTCAAAAGTCTGGCTTGACGTATACACTTTGAAAACCACTTTGTTGCAATGGCAGCGTTAACCAATAGCTTGCTTTGTCCAATAGGTGTTGATTATTTGAATGCTGGTTTTGAGGAAAAAAAATAATGTTTTTGAATATTGATAGGATAGATATAAACATAACAGTGTACCTCTAATAAAAAATAACCTATACCACTTCAGACCAAGGCAGTTGTACTTAAAATTAATAAATGGTATTCAAGATGCACTAAATGAGGGTAAGATATATATTTTTTTGGTAACCAAACATGGCAATTATGTTTGGATTGTAGGGGAGTAACGATTCATCATTGCCACCTCCAATTCCCCGTAGATTCTATGAATTGTCGCGATTTGGGATCGTGAAATGCGTTCCACAATCCTCTCTTTAACTTTGCGGTGTATGCCGTGGCCTCTAATGGATGCAGGGATCAAGTGGAACTGCACTACGTAAGAATATAATAAAGCAGAGATTATCACACACACGACTCGACGCATGTATTGTAAGCGTACACAATGATCTTAACCAATCAATCGGTGCATCGTTACACCTCTAGTTAATATTAGCAGTGGCTGTGATTTTGGGTGCGTAATGAACGTGTTAGAGCGAAGCCTGGTGACCAGGTCTTATTCTTGTGTTTGATGTTCTGGTGTTTCAAGAGTCCCTGTACGCTGTGCGGTAATTAACCAGGCTCAACATTGCATTGTCACGTCAAGTATGAATGCACATGTTAGCACTGTAAAATTGTATATTCTTATACTGGTATGACCAAATAGGAAACAAAAAAATATCCACCCATTGCAATTCTAGTATGGCTGCTCCTGTTTCAATGCGCGTGCGGCCAAGTGTGCAGTTGTGATACCAGCTCAAGTTCACGGATGGCGCTGGGTGCAAGGTTTAGTGTACATTGATGAGCTCGAACACTGGCACGAGCTCAACATCATCAGGCTCTCAAGTAAGAGTGGATTAATCCCACCCAACTGTGGCGATTCAATGAATTGCCACGATTAAGTGGCGCAGTACGATTCAAGAATGTATTCCGTTTTAACATTACGGTGAACGGTTAACGCCTTCAGTGGCTGACCTCAGGGGTGACTTGACCCCTTTACATAAAACATTTTAGGAATTTAAAAAAACATCGATTTCTTATACATGCGAATTCGATGTGCACATCGCGAGCCCCCAAGAGTCGATATAAATCGGTGAATCGATGCATCAATCCACCCCTGCTCTGAAGCGGTTCAAATCATCTTGGCATGCATGCAACATGCACAGCGTGTATTTGTCGGACCAGTGGTCACAGTGCAAAGCTGTGTGTCGTGTGCACTAAATACAACTCTCGATGTACGTCGTGACACACGTGTGCTTGCGTTTTTCATAAGTTATCAATCAAAGATTGCTGGCTTATCTGCAGTAGTAATGCTCCGGATTAATAAAAAAAAGACCCATACAATTGATGAGGCGTTTAGACAATGTTTCTGGAATTTTAATTAGCCAGGCGTGCTGGTGTGTACACCTGTGATCCAGCGCTTTGGAGGCAAGGAGTTGGTGGCCAAGATCCGACGGTAAAAACGATTCAATGACTCCATCTGTGCAGACCTTTGAGTATGAGTGGGTTTCTCTGGGTACTGCAGATTCCATTCCACATGCAAAACGCTCGGTAATGGAATCGGCAAGGCATGCCAATGCAGGAACCCTCCACAAAAAAGCATTGCTATTTGGGTGCTATTTCCCTGTATAATTATTAAGGATTCGTGTTTTCTTGGATAAGTTGTCAATTCGAATGAAGAAAACTTGGGAAATTCTGTATGGAATGAAAACGATACCTCCTTTCAAGATTGTACACCAAGATTGTACACCACTTGAAGACCTGGAAAAATATTTGTAAGCGTCACATTTAAAAAGTATTCATTTAAGAAGTGGTGAGAAAATTTCGAAGTATTTCTGTAAGTAATGTCTCCTAATACTCATTTGTTCGGTTGCTGATTTTAACGCACTAACTCGTAACAATTGCGGTCAATAGTACTGGAATTGCGTTCAGTTTGGTTCGTTGGAAGTGTTTTACCACTGGAAGCTGCAGTTGAACACAAGGTGGCGATATTGGTGCAAGTTACCAGGGTGGCGCGCTGAAATATTCTCGAATCGACACATTAAGACAATAATAATGCGGTGCAGATCTTTGTCAGTCCAGTGCAGCGTGAAGACCTATCCACGCCGAATTGTCACGAGGGTTGGTTTAGCCATAAATCATCACGGTGGTCAACGCGGGTCGGTGAAGATGGGGCACCAGGAGCGGTTCAGATGTTAACCGTGGCCCGGAATGGAACTCGGGAGGCAGAAGTTCATGGCTACCCGTTTTCCCTTCACGCAAAGTCACCATCAGCCATAATCCACTGCTGGATGAAGGCCTCCCCAGGCTGCTGCGATTTCGCGAACCTATAGTGTAATCGTACACCTAGCACCTGCCCGTGAGCTGATGATAATCACTCCATCTCCTCTGTTAACGTCCTCTCGATAACGTTCCATTCCTTGGCCGTCACGGACTCGGTTTAAAAACAAACGTAGCCTGCCTCCCTGAAAACAAAGGAATAACTGAAATTCTTGATGAACGTGCAGAATTAAATCTACATTTGCTTCCCAGACTGGTCATGCCGCCTTTAACTTGCAAAAAAAACAACGCACGCCGGTTTGGCAACCTCGCTTTTCGAGCCAGAGGTTTGGCAAAGAGGAACTTCTCGTCCCATGATCTCATCATGAGGCCACGTGGACAAACCGTAGAGGAATAGAACGGACTATTGGCCGGTGAAAGTGGATGGCGGGGGCTGGGTGTGAGAACGGGAGACGCTCTTCACAAAGAGCTGTAGATTATTGTAATGGCCTGCCCACAAGTAGCTGCACACGCAAGATTCCATCTTAGGAAATTGCTTGGATAGGTTCTTATAGCAACGGGCCCTGGGTACACACAGTCTGCAGTGTATTATACGGTGTGTACCTTTAGGGGCCACGGCGGTGAACGTTTAAAAATGGGGGCTTTTTTGGCGCCGTGTCCGTGCTTGCAAGGACATAGTTCCGTGCCTCTTTTACGTATATAAGCGTGCACTATAATCCACACTAGATAAAGTATTTGAACATTTTGAGTCGAAAGTTGAGTGCCCCCAACTCTCCACTTAAATATAAACTGCCTCTTGTGTTCAGCAGGGTCCAAAGCAAGAATTCGCCTATAAGCAAATCACCCTGGAATGCGCCCGTTGCTCATAACATCTCAGAAGCGAAGCGGATTTCAGCCTGGATAGTGCTTCAATGGGTAACCACCGTGCAATACATATGTTGTTAGAGGCTCTGGGACTCCGTGGTGGGCAGCAGAGGACACTGCAGAAAAATCCATTCTACAGGGTGGTCCAGATGTCCTGTGACCCCCCCCCCCCCCCATTTAATTCGCTAAAACTTAATATTTTTGTATTTACCGATGGACGTGAAAACAGAAATGAATAAGCAAAGGAAAATAATGTTAGGAGTCGATTAATTGGGGGGGGGGGGGGGTCACAAGACATCAGGAGCACCTTGTACAGTGCTTATTATACTCCGATGTCTCTGCTCCCAGCCTTCACTCACTCGCAGTGACTCGGCAGGATTGTGGTAAAGTAAAACTCACCCATAATGAAGTTTTTTTTGGGTTAGCGTAAATATATAAATGTCGTTAAATCCGCCACCACCCGACACAGCCAATTGGTAAGGGTTGTCACGTAAACAGAACATGCCAATTCGTTGCTATTACAGCACACTGGTTGTGTGTGGGAGAGCAATTCCACAACATTTTACAATCTTGAGTACGACGTTTCGCCAGTAATTACAACCGGCATCATCAGGCGGCAGCCGGATTTGACAAACCTTACTAATTGGCTGTGCCGGGTGGTGGCGGGTTTAACGACACACATTCACGCAATCTACCCCAACAAAAAAACGATATGATGGATATTGGTCGCGAAAGCCTACGTGTTAAACTAAACTAAGTTAAACTCGCATGCTTTTGCGCCATTCACACAAGGCCTCGCGGTAACCCCCACCAGACGCGTTGACGTGGGGTGCAAAGGCCCTCATTTCAGCAGCCCATCGACACGTAACAAGCGGTGTACACGCACAATACATCCCACGGCGTTGTGCCTGTTTGTGTAGGAATACAAAATGGGCATGCCCCCCCCCCTTCCCGTGCATCCGCCATAGAACAGTTCAAGGCTTATCTTTGGCTCTGTCCGGCTTGTCTGAACAGCAGCAACAACAACTACAACAAAAGTTCCTCTCCACGACTACAATCCCAGCCTCGTGACTTTACAGCCAATTCTGGCTTGGCATCCCCCCCCACGCCGCCACCTTCCCGACCTCCCTTCAATCAATCCTCGCCTTGGTACACCCTTGTTACACCCTCCGTGTACCAAGGCATATCCCTCTTGGTTTCACACGCGTGTGCGTTTTAGCACGTGAAAAACAACAAATTGTGGTTGCTTTGTGTGAGCCGCCCCCCCTCACCCACCCTCCATTTTTTTTTGCAAGGGTCATTGTAAAACGCTCTGTAAACACTTAATATTAATGGTCCCAAACCACAATAAACAAGTGTATATGCAACCTATAGTTTGTCACGCTCGTGATGGGTTTCCTGCCTTTGCGAAAATGCCGAGTGGCATTTTCAAAAGCTGTGCTAAAGTCATCATTATGAGACATGTTCAATCCACTTGCATTAAAGTCATCTTCCTGTGATTTCGTAATCCACCTAGAGCCTTCACACACTGCAGAATTCATAGCTTCGCGGTTTATCCACGCCGCCTCAACGCGTACTGCTCTATAGATGCCACCACCTAGGCAATCTTTCTTGACCTTGAAACGTGCCCTGACCAAGTCCACCTCGCCTTCCTCATCGATTGATATCGCCAACCCGCTTATATTATCTCATCCACGTTTTCCTCATACGAAACTAGCCAGAGTAATGAAACATGACCTGTGTTTCGAAGTGTTTCAACGGAGAAGTGCTACGTGAATTTACATTTGCCCACTAGAATGAATCGTTTATTCTGCATACTAAGCTGGGTGATCTTTTCCCCAAACTATATTGTTTATTTTTAACAGGCACTTCCGTCGTGTGCTGTGATTTACGTGCCTTTCCTCCCCCCGATATGCTCCCGAACATAACTCTGGGTTTTGATGGAATATGTGTCACGTGTAGCTTATTTCAACTTAAAACTCGTTCACCTTGTCCGAAATTAATATAACGATGTAAAAGTAGGTACATCTTTAGCCTGTTCGAGAGCAGTCTGCGTTCTTTCGGAGGGACGTACACATCTACCCCGTCCTTTTGAATTACCAAGCAATGTTTTTTTTGCGTGTGAAATAAACAGCAACTCTTGCGATGAAGAATGGGAATTGTAAATCCCCAAGTGTTCATTGTCTGAGAGATACTGCAACTGTAACGCCTCTGTTGTGACAGCTCGTATCTTCGTTTTCAGATAGTGAGGTCACCACTTTCTTCACACAAATGAGGTAATGCTTGTTGTTGTTGTAAGTGTGCTGGCGTTGTGACGGGCACATTTTGAGTAGCACAGCGGACAAAAACCCAGTGTTGTCAGATGTTCAGTAAGCTGTCGTTCACGCCCATTGAACGTTTTCTCTCAAGTTGAAATTCAATCCTCGCATCACAATTCCACTGCCGTCAACTAAACATGTACATTTACTGCGTATGCCCACATTGATGCATGAAAAATATTATAATTTACCGGCGTAACAGATTCCCGTAACCAACAGTGACCCTTGGGATTTCAAATAAATTGAAGCGATTCGAGATCGTGACTTGATTTGCGAATCAATTATTGTATATGGTCGATGTAGCAGCTTCTAGTGGCTGGATTCTTACGCACGATATTCAATGCTCACTAATACCGTATTGTGAGCTTTAGAATCAGTATTCGTCGATTAATATAATGCATAGTTTAGTCATTTATATATCGAACGCGATCGGAAAGCACAAAAAGTCAAAACACAGCAAGACCCCACTGAAGTCATTAGTTTTGCAATGTTAAGTCGAAAATTAACAACCCTTGATTTATAATAACGTTGTTGTGTATTCAGGATGGCCACACCACTGCGTTTGCATTGCGGTAAGAAGAAGAAAACAACCCCATTCACCCCTCTTGATTAATTTTTTTTTAAAGTAGAAGCACGGCTACATCCCTCCCCACATGGAGTGGCTGGCGTGCCTTTGCAAAACGTTACGATGGCTGCAGATTTATTGCGTGTGACGCCTCGCAGCTTTTATTTCCAGTTGAAGAGTTGTGCTTGTAATGTTGAACTGCCTCCAAGCCAAACAAGCACCGGCCACAGGATCTGAGAACGGCAGCAGCTATAGGTCTGAAAAGGCTTCGAGACCGGCCTGTTTATTTAGCTCATATTAAACACTTTGGGTTATTTGAAG